CCCTCCCTCCCTCCCTCCCTCCTTCCTTCCTTCCTTCTTTCTTTTCTTTCCTTCCTTCCTTCCTTCTTTCTCTCTCTCTCTCTCCCCTCCCTCATGCTTTTTTTCCTTTCAGTATATATTCTGCACTTTTTCTAATTGTAGAGGTTTAGGATCCACCTTGCACTGATAGACCCTCAGCTTGAACTAGATTGAGTTATGTTGTTGTTGTTGTTGTGTGCTGTCAAGTCGGAACCGACCCACGGCTGACTCTCCAGCGGGTTTTCAGAGGTTGTAAATCGCACGGGAGGAGGGTGCCCATACTTCTTATACGGAGCAGCTGGTGGATTTGAATTGCAGGCCTTTGGGATTGCCGCACAGCTTCTTAACCTCTAGGCCACCGGAGTTCCCAGATTGTATAATAGAAAGTGACTATTATGGAAAGTGATTATATGACGTTATATTAGAAGTGTTGTTGGGTGCTGGGGGGCCAAATAAGACTCGCAGCAGCCTTCTGAACCATTTCCTATGCTGCCCCATCTCCACCAGGCTAATGTCTGTGGCCACACTCTCTGTGTCAGTCGGTTTTGTTGAAGGTCTTCCTCTCCTTCACTCACCCTCGACTTTCCCCAGCTCGACGTCTTCTTCCGAGGCCTAGTCACTCCTGACAACATTCCTGAGACCGAGTTTCACCATCCTTGCCTCTCAGAAGCACCCCAGTTGCATTTGGTTCATTCTTTTGACAGTCCATGAGATACTCTGTACTTTTGCCAACACGACAATTCAAAGACCTTGATCCTTCTGTCACCTGTATTCATTGTCCAACTCTTAGATGGGAAACAAAGCAACTGAAAAATTCCATGGCTTGCATCAGGCACACCTTAGTTTGTTTTTTTTCCCCATTTTTATTGTATTATTTTTACGTGTACCATCAAATCAGATCTGACTGGTACAGGAGGAGATTGCCCCCTCCTTCTCCAGCAGAGCGTCTGGTGGATTTGAACCGCATACCTCTGGGATTGCAGTGCAGCGTCTTGCCACTAGGCCACCAGAGCTCTCTACGCCTTAATTTTTAAACTGACATCCTTGCCCTTTGGTATTTTAAAAAGGTCCTTGATAGGAGTTTTGCCTAATGCAACCCACCTTTTGATTTCTTTCTTTTTAAAAAAAATTTTTATTTTATTAATTTTAATGAACATTTACAGAGATTTTGGATTTCCATTCATTCATTGTTGCATGATTTCTTTCTCTTTTTAAAAATGTTATTATTATTGTGTGTGTGCGTGTACCATCAAATCAGATCTGACTGGTACAGGAGGAGATTGCCCCTCCTTCTCCAGCAGAGCATCTGGTGGATTCGAACCACTCACCTCTGGGATTGCAGTGAAGCATCTTGCCACTAGGCCACCTGAGCTCCCTCCTTTTTGATTTCTTGGCTGCTGTTGCCGTGCCAGCTGATGGCGGTGCCACGTAAAATGAAATCATGGACAATTTCAATCTTTTCTCCATCAATCATGATGTTGTCTACTGGTTCAGTTACGAGTGGTTTTGTTTTCTTAATGTTGAGATGTAATCCACGGGAAAGGCTGTAGTCTTTGATCTTTAGTAAGAGATTTGAGCAAGCACTTTCTCCAAGGAAGATTGTGTCACCTGCGTAACACAGGTTGTTGTTGATTCCTTCTCCAGTCCTGATGCCACGTGCTTCTACATACAGTCCTGCTTCTTGAAAGATTTAGTCGTCATATAGATTAAGTGTGATAAATAAAGAGGCAACTCTGACACTCACCTTTCTTGATTTTAAGCCAGACAGTGGCCCCTGGTTCTGTTCCAGGGACTGCTTCTTGGTCTACATACAGGTTTCTCAGGAGACCAAGTATGTATTCTGGAATTCCTGTACTTCTGAAAGTTCTCTGTAATTTCTTATGATCCGAAGGGCTTCACATAGTCAATAAGACTCAAACAAGGCGAGCTCTGGTGGCCTAGTGGCAGGAAGCTGCACTGCAATCCCAGAGTTACGCTGTTCAAATCCAGCAGATGCTCTGTTGGAGAAGGACGAACAATCTCCTCTTGTACCAGTCAGATCTGATTTGACAGTACACACACACACA